ATTTTTACATTAAGATAAGTTTTAAGGGGCAGGTCAGGTAAAATAGGCAAAAACTGCATTACAGTCATTTTTGGACACTTTTTAAATGCAAATATATTTTTTTTTTTGTGTGAAATTTCAGCCTATCATATGTTTGATAAACTGGTGAACAAAAATTTTAAGGCAGTGTTGAATTTAAACATTGTATTACTGTATTTTCTGAACATTTTTTTAATAGATGTCAGGTCAGGAAATTGTACACTATTTGTTTAATTCCTATTGGCCATAACAATGGTTAAGTTTGATTTATTTATTGATTTATTTATTTTTCCGTTTACATGCTTCATTATAGTTTTACTGTTTAAATTCTGATACAAGGCCTGTAACAGGCCATCTAGTCACCATTTGTAACAACTTACCCCATACAGTGTGTTGACAGGCCCTGTTGTTATAGAAGTCAGTGTGTGTTACTCTAAATGATCTGTATCCTTTTTATAGTCAATAATGGCAGAACAGAATATTTCACTGTTTTAATAGTTTTGTCTAAGGTTAAAGTCTAAACAGAAATTGACTTTGAAAAAGAAACCCATCCTGAGAAATACTCATTCTTTTTACTAATTATGTTTATTCCTCATTGTAAACCACATATGAACATGAACCCTGCTGAGTTAATTAAATTCTAATATCATTTTATTTTTTAATAGTTTCAGAGATATGTGGAAGAGAGATACTAGAGGGAACGTCCTGCACCATCAAGCTGAAAACAACAAACACTGACAGACCTAATGAGATTAAATGGATCCATCGCACTAGCGGTGACGTAATTCACAGGAAAAATGGGAAGATCAGGACAAACACTCTAGATGGAAATATGGAAGATGATGGATCATTAACATTTCACAATGTTAGTCTGAATAACACCGGCAAATATAAATACATTTTTTATGCTGGTGATGGTACAGAGACCAGTGGAGAAGAGGAAATTAAAGTTTATGGTAAGAAAACAAATATTTGTACCCTTCCAACACAATGCAAAGAATAACACAATAATATTTCTACAGTAGTTACAGTAGTAGGAAATAACCACCATGTTTCTGTCACAGCAACGGCTCCTAAACCTACTCTGACAGTGACCATCAACTGCAAAGATGGGAACGCTACACTCACCTGTGACATTAGAGACCGTACAGATCTGACTGTCTCCTGGTATAAAGAAGACAATATCATCCAGAATGAAAACAACCCAAAACTGCTCTTGACATCTGCTCAAATACAGGAGAATAAACCGTACTCATGCAGTGTAAGCAATCCTGTCAGCAATGAGCAAAGTGACAGCGTTACTGTATCATGTAAGTCAATTTTTTTTATTTTACAAGCTTCTCATTCTTCAATGTACTAACTTTGTGTTATAATTATGCAT